TTTCCTCTGGGTTGTCTTTGTACATGTTGGGCAATAAGCCAATTATTTATTCTTCTGGGATGTTGTTTTTAGAAAAATGTAACAACCTAGACTGAACTAATAGCACTTTTTCAAGTTATTGCGATTAGGTTGAAAATTAAAAGGAAAATTTGATTATCAGTGACTATAAATATGTCTTTATCAGTATTTTTCTAGTCAGCCAATGGGGGCTACTTGTTGTATCTCTCTATTACATTATGTACTAAAAGTAAAACAGAATGATGATATTGTCCATGGGGGTCTTTTATAGCATTTCATCTTAAGATTCAGCTTTAAGATTTATATATATTGGGGCCAGGGATTTAGCTTAGTGGTTTTGCCATCTGTTGTGCAGGCGCAAGGACCTGAGTTCGATCCCCGGTACCAAAAAAAAAGATTTGTATATATTATTCCACTTGCGGTTCTGATTAATTGCAGCAAATATCATTACAATAGTCCCTTAAGTCATTTAATGTTTTGATTATTTAATAGGTATAAATCCTGAGGTATAAGTTGCCTAAGACATGGCCCCTACCTTTGAAGAGTTTATACCTTCCTAATTTTCATTGATTTCTCAAGCTGTTCACACTGAACGTTTTAAAATTAATTGTGCACTCATACCACCACTAAATTTGTCAGGAATTTATGGACTCTGAAGTCCCTTTTCCTGTTAAATCTAAATTATTTTTTTTAGAAGAATATGACACTCTTGACTGAAATAGTAGCATTTTTTTGGACTTTAATGAAATTGAAATATGACCTAAAGGTAGAATATTTCAGAGAACAAATTGATAGAAATTTCATAAAGTGTGATTTATACCCAGTGAGAGCTCTTTGAGAATTATTTTTGCCCTTGGAATCTAATATAGGACCCAATTGCTAACAAAATGCACTTATCTCCCCTTTTAAAGTATAAAGTGGTAAACTATCGAAGTAGAATATTGACTTGTGGTCAGTATGCGCTTCATTTTTCAATTTGCTAAGTCATGTGCTAAATTTCCTAAATTTAAAAGTAGGAAGCTTGGAATGGGACCAGTCACTGTGAGCTAGTCTTTCGCACCCAGTAGATAGCAGCACTCAGGTCTTCACCTCTGGCTCCCTTACCCTGGTTTTTTCCTTCATACTGCATACACAGGAGTATTTCATTTTTGTGGTATTTACTTCTTTAATCTTTGCTTTTCCCATTTAACTGGAAGTTACAAATAAGCGCATGGCTTCTTTTGGATACACTGGAATTATAGCTTTACTATGGTTGGATTTCAATGTTTGTCATCCAGTTAAACCAGAGAAGGAGTAGTTTTCTTCCTTAATATCTAGTGATGTTCAAGTCTTATTTTGTTATAAAGAATTATTTTGGATTTTTGTCCTTGACACTCTCCACTGCTATATGTGTGGCCAGTGTGATTGTCCCAATGTAGAATGATAACTTTTATTACTTTTTCAATATAGAAATTTCCTCTATACATTTAAGTAACCTACAGTTTTCATTAAACAGAAAAAGAATAGAAAGCTTCCAAACTGGTTTGTCCACTCAAGGCACTTAAGTGACTTAAGCCTTGGATATTCTTTGAAGCCAGTAAGGAAGTTAGTAAGGCTGGAGGGCTTTCAAGGATAATTCATTGCTTTTTTCCTGTAACTACTCACTCTGTCTGTGGGGGCTGTAAATGGTATCTTTTGTCCTCTTGCAGCTTGGAAGACGGTGGCAGGACCTGAAGAAGGCCCTGTTCAGGGAAAGAGGCACCTGAATTCTGCCTATGCTGCCAACTCAGACTTCTTGTCCTGAGTGTGAGGTTTTAGTCAAGTATTTCGTGAGTTCCTGTGTCTCACAACCTTGAACTTTTCGCTTCCCAGTTCTGGTTTCCTCTCCTGATGCTGGCCAACCCTCAGCATCCCCTCCATCTGATAAATGGCTGCAGACTGAGAAGCAAATATTTATTGGCTGATGATCTGTGATGTGTACCAGGGGTGCCTGGGTGGCCCTGCCTGTCGGAATGCATGGAAGTCATAGGTCAGGGGAGTGGTGAGAGGGTTGCATCATGGCTGTTTCCTTGTCAGAGAGAGACTTGAAGCCAAGAAACCGGTGTGAGATGATTTGGAGGTAGGAAAGAGTAGTTTTCAATAGTGCCATGAGCACTGCTTCTCTCAAGACTTGGTGCTGAAGCTAAAGCTGTAGCATGAGCATCAGAAAGCCAAGCAAGTTGACTGGAGAAGAAAATTGCAGGAGAAGCGTAAGTGTGTGTAAAAGCCAATGCGGGTGCAAGGACTCAGTGGATTCAAAGAGTGAAAGCAGTGTCCTGTTTAGAATGGCATGAAGAGAAGAGGCAGGGCACAGATAAAACCAGCAGGGTCTGCAGGCAGCAGATTGGTCAGAAACGTGGAGGCTAAGGAAAGAGATTAATATCAAAGCACATAGTAAGATTTAATTTGTGCTAGGTGAGAAATCTGGCTGATGTGGGGAGACCAGATTGGAGAGATCAACTGGGGTGTAGGAGACAGGTAGAAAGGGTCAGAAGGAGAGGAGAGCTTTTGCGCTATGGTCTAGATTAGCTGTGGAAAAGTGGCTTCCTCTGAGTATATCCTCGAGATATGGTGGACAGGATTTCTAGGAGGGTGGGATTTTACTTAATTTTTTAAAATCTTGCCTACTGATTCTTTTCACTCCTAATCTCCATGATTATGAACTGTTTTATTTATTGTATGGTTGTGTTTTTGGTTTTTTATGCCAATACCTGACTAAGACCAGGCTTTAGATGTTCAGCATGTGCTTGGTGAATGAACCTATCTGTTTAGGGCCAAGACTCTGGATATGTGAGTGCTGTAGTCCATAGTATAGTCTCCTAGAGGGTGCCAGGTGTGTGAGATGGCAGGAAAGTGGGGACCCAACCATCTGTTCTGGGATTTCCTTTAGGGATGAGAAGAAGAATCCTAACACAGGCCTCAGTCAAGGCCCCAGGACTTCTCTGATGCTGCTCGTCCACCCTGCCTGCCCCACAGGCTGGCTTACCTACCAGCTCTCCTGCACTGCCATGGTGACCTGCCCTTGCCCCAAGACCCCACTTAGCATTCAGCCCCATATTTGTGGACTTGCACACATTTGTCTTCCCAGTAAACCACACCCTGTGTTTCTCCTGCACAGTTGTGTGCCTGCTGCCTGACACCTGGCTAGTCCTCAGTGAATATTTGTTGATTCAGTCACTCATCATCATCATCAATCATCTAAATTGCTCCAGTCTAGTGTATATAAAAGACTTCGGCAATGGTTATTTTATCTTTCCTTGTAAAGTAGTCAGGGCAGGAAGAATTTTCTCCACTTTGCTCATGAAGGTAAGGCCTAATGCACTGGTCCATGGCTTGTTTGCATATTGTAATAATCACCTGGGTGGTTTAACAAAACCAGATACACCAGTCACATGGAAAATAATTTTGATTTTAATGGTGTAGGGTTTTACTTGGAAGAGTGTGAGTATGCTTCTACTTAAGATACCCACGTGACACTAATGTTCAGCAAAGTTGAAGAATCACTGGCCTGTGTCACTGTTTCTCAAATGTTAATGCGCATGCAAATCACACATGCAGAATCAGATTCAGTAGAGGTAGGGTGAGACCCAAAATTTGTGTGCCTAACAAACTCCAGAGTGAGGCTGAAGTTCTGGCTGCAGACCACACTCTCTGGGGAACTTTGACACCCAGAGAAGACAGTATAGCCTGTCCTGAAAGGCAAGGGTACATTATGGCTACAGTATTAGGCACAACATGTACTGTGCCATGAACTTGGAAGATGAAATTATGCCAGGGTGGGCTCAGCAGGGTTCCTTCCTTCTTGACTGAGCAAGTATATCTCTTTGTGATAGTGCAGCTCATTGGATTCCTCAGACCCCTAATTAGGGATGATCACTCCTTCCTTCGCTATCCCCATTGATACTTTTATTTAGAACTTATGAAATCAAGATGGAAGCGTTTGTTTTCACTACCCATGCTGTGAACTCCTTGAGAGTGGGGGTGTTTGTATATTCATTATTTGGTCCAGTATTTATGAGTGACTCCAGGCGTAGGCAAGCAGGATATCCCATAGTTCAGAACTTCAGGCACATGGATCAAGATTGGTGGCATTGATGAGCATATAGCTTGATGGTAGAGTATGTGCTTACCATATGTAAAGCTATGGGTTCAACCCCCAGCACCACCAAAAAGAAAAAATCTATAGCCTCTTTGTACAGAGCAATGCAGAAGGTAGAGTGCCAACACTGGTTTCCCACTTAGGCTCAGTTTGCCCTCTGTAAAATGGGAGTAATGATGGCAACCTGTAATGGTACAGATAAAAATGAAATAATAGATGTAAAATACTGGGCATGATAAAAAATACAACATTTTAAAAAATACTATTGCAGTAAAAGACACATTGCCATGAGTCCCCCTCAAAGTACTCCCCCTCACAGCACAATTATTCCATCATTCTTGAAACTTTTGGAAGCAGTTCTGAAAGTGTTCTTTCCTAAGTGTCTTTAGTTGCACTGTTATGGCTGCCTTGATGTCCTGAGTTGATTCAAAACATTTATCTTTCATTTTATTTTGACTTTGGGAAGATCCAGAAGTCACACAGTGCCAGATCCACTGAATGAAGTGGATGAGAAGATGCTGTCATGTATTTATTTGACAGAGATTGCCATAAACATTTTAAATTCAGGACATCAAGCCAGCCAGGAAAAGACAGGAAAGAGAACTTGCAGAACTGCTGCAGAAAGTGGCAAGGATGGTGGGATGTGTGTTCAAAGCAAGAGGAAGTATTTTGAAGGGAATTAATGGGAATGTGTCTTTTGTTGTAATGCATTTTTAAAAATTTAACATTCATGGTATTTTGATCATACCTCATATTTTGCACAATGCCTGCCCACAGGAAATAGTTAATGCATGTTTGCTGAAAATCAGCCCAGGAAAAGGGCTGCGTGGAATCATGGATGTGTTCTTTGTGTTTGTCTTTCTAGTCAGGTCTCATAAGGACACACAAAAATGAATTCCTCATCTCACCGTTACCTCAGCTGCTGGCCCAGGAACACAACTACAGCGCCCCTGCGGGCCACCATCCCCATGTACTGTACAAGAGGACAGCAGAGGAGAAGGTCCAGTGGTACGGTGGCTACCCTGGCCCCAGCCGGACTTACCCCGGTCACTCCCCAAGTCACACTCCCCCTGCATCCCAGAGTGCAGAGACAGAATTCCACCATCGAAGGTGGCAAAAGCAGCATTTTTGTGGACGACGCAAGAAATGTATGTAAGGAAACATTTTCTCGTTCTGTTCTTAAATGGGCTTCGACGTGTTTTTCTGAGTGCTGTTGGGTGTGCTGCTTTGCAGGTTAAAATGGGTTGTTCCTGGCGCCCACTGCAAGGGAGTCTTGGAGAAGGCCTGAGTGAGGTTCTTGTCGGACCAAAGCTGGATGATCACTGTGACTGAGTTGACTCAGAAAGATTTAGATATGGTTTCTTTTTTGTTCGTTTAGCATCTCTGGATTTTAGCCACAGGTCCCAGTCTTGTCTTGGTTTCTATGCTCTTGGGGAAAGAAGAAAGACTTCCAAAGATGAAAGAAATCAGAGGCACGTGTCTAGGTATGGGTGGGTATTGTTTTGGGCACATGAAGAAGAGACTTCTTGGGAAGCAAGGGCATTGGATCACGAGGGCAGGTAGCTATGGAAAACTGGGACCCTTGGGCAGGCATTTTGATCCAGGCACAACCTTCTGCATCTTCCAGAACAGCAATGCCCAACAGAAATGTAATGCAAGCTCCCTTGTAATTTAAAATTTTCTACTACACATTTTTAAGATTTCTTAAAAGTTAATTTATTAACATTTTATTTAACTCACTGCATACAAAATATCTGAACATAAAATCAATATAGCACATTACTAATGAGAGATTACAGTCTCTTTTTATATTACTTTTTAGAAACCCAGTGTTTCTTTTATTCAATTTCAATTCAGGTGGTAAAATTTTATCAGAAATACTTAATCTGTTATTTAAATTTCATTAGATTTAAGGTTGAAAAAGTAGATTAAAATACTCTAGTTGTTCCAGAGATACTCCCAAGTTTTTCAATATCTGAATCAAGTGTTGCATTTTTTATTTAAATTAAATGAAAGGAAGAATTCAATTCACCCATCTCACCAGCCACAGTAAATGGCTCAGTAGCCACAGGTGGCAAATGGTACTGAATTGGACAGCCTGCCCAGAAGAGAATTCTGCTCATAGAGATGAGGAATGGACAACACTGGGATATGAGTCAGGAGCGATGTAGAGACAGCGTGTCTATCATTGCAATTCTTTTTTGGTGTTGTTGAAATATTCTCATTAAAGACATCTATTTAGCACCTATCTATTGTACCCCCTGTCTATAATAATGGTATTAATGATAGTAATGATATTTGTAGGGCCGATGATATATATTTGATATGAGACCTCAAACTTATCTTTAAGGGAATCTCATGAATGAGTATCATCCCCTTCTTATTGAAGAAGCAGCTGAGATCCAGGGTCACATGTGAACTTGTGGTGAACTTGAGTTTTTAAATTAAATCTAGGTGTTTTAATCTTGTAGTCTCATTCTGTGGAGAGCTGACATTACTGTTAAAGCTATACCAATTGTTACAGTATTAAAACATTTCTATACTGGCTCAGTGCAGTAGTGAGCTTTCTAAATGCTCTTGTTTCCAAGGTGCTCTTGGATTGTCACTATCCATTAACCAAAGGTGTCATGGCTGTCACAAAAGAAGCTCACTCAAAATCTATGGCCAGTATCCATTCTGTGGAGTTGGTGCCATTTATGAAAAGTGTTTGATATTGTTTTACTATCACCCCTGACTTTTCTGTTTCCCAATAACTAAGTCAATATCTGTTTGAAGAGTCTTTATGGACTACTTAGTAGGTGCCAAATTTAAGTCAATGTTGATGAAACAAAAGTAGAAGGCATGGGCAGTGTTTTATAGTTCACGTTTTATTCAGAAAGTAATATATGTAAAGCATTATCATAACTGCATGCCTATAATCCCAGCACTCTGGGAGACTGAGGCCAGAGGATTGTAAGTTTGACCCCAGCCTGGCAATTTAGCTACTTACTAAGACCCTGTCTCAAAATGAAAAATAGGGTTAGGTATGTAGTTCCTTGCAAAGGGCCTGGATTCAATCCTCATATTTTATCCAGGCAAGGTGATATACACCTGTAATCCCACTACCCTAAGAGACTGAGGCAGGAGGATTGCAAGCCACATGGGCAACTTTGTGACTTAGCAAGACCTTGTCTCAAAAAAGAAAAGAAAAAGTAACAAATATAAAGAGGCCTCAGTGCAAAGGGCCTGGCTTCAGTCCCCAATACCAGTTTTAAAAAAACGTCTGCAGACTTGAAGAATAATGTCTATTTTTATACATTCTGAGTAATGGAAGGAGCATTTTCTTTTTGCAATAGCCCTTGATTGATTTTTTTGTTGAGCTGCCTTTTCTACCAACTAGAATCGTAGCTTTTTTTTTCCCACTCTTTAGAGCAGTTTGAGTTACTGCGCCTGTCCACCCACCTGCCCGTGCACCCCTCCATGCACCCGCGGATCTCTGGAGTGTGTCTTCCTCCAGCACGATTCGTGCCAAGCGCCAGCCCGGGCCCTGATGGCATCCCTTAACATGGAGTGGGAGGTGCTGCTGACAGGTTCTCTGCTCCTCTCCGTCCGGCTCACCCACGTGCTCTCTGCTGATGTCTTTCCCATGCTCTCGTGTTCACGGCAGATGCTCCGCAGCCTCCCACTGCGGACGCCTCCCGACGGCTTGATGCGTCCGGGAGCTCAGGGCGGCCTCGGAGGTCGGCTGGGAAGCCCCCAAAGGGCCTCAGCGTGGAAACCCTCGTGGTGGCGGACCAGAAGATGGTGGGCAAGCACGGCAAGGGGAATGTCACCACCTACATCCTCACAGTCATGAACATGGTAAGGGTCGTGGGCCTGCCTGGCTCCCTGCATGCATGGCATGGCAGATGTGGCTCATGGTTTCACGGTGACTGTTGAGAAAGCCGTGTTCAAAGATACGTCTATTTAGGTAAAAGAGAAGCCTGTGCACCCGTACCTATGTCGGATCGGTTCCTCTTATATGCTTTTACTAATGTTGAGATTTTCTTAGCTTTTCCTTGTTCCGACAGGTTTCCAGCCTATTTAAAGATGGAACTATTGGAAGTGACATAAATATTGTAGTGGTGGGCCTCATTCTTCTGGAACAAGAACCTGTAAGTGGCAAACTGCATTTGTTTCTTCATTCCTTCTGCCATTCAGGATGCCTTTTTTGAGCATTTACTATGTGCAGATCCATGTACTAGTCCTTAGAAATTCAAATTGAAAACTATTCCGACCCTTGCCTCAAGGAAAGTACCATCATATTGGGCTGTATCGTCAAATAGCTAAACTAAAACACCACAAAATAATCATAGATTAATTTGTATAGTATATGCATGTATAAATGTACAATGACACAAAATATTAAATGGTTACAGAATGTGAATACAACTATGGAAATATTATGCACAAATATCTAACTATTATATAGGCCTCTCAAGGAAAGTGCCTTTGGTCATAGATTTAAAGATTAGTTGGATTTTTGCAAGTTGGAGATAGTAATTGTAGGTAGATGCACAGAGATGTTTTGAAAACATACTGAAAATCATCAGAAAATTCTTGGAGTAAACGTCTAGTCTCCCAGCACCATCTTAGGTACTACAGATTATAAGCATGGATATTTAACTGCCCTTGAATTGATTACAGTCAGGGGTAAGACACAGGCATGGGGCATATTACAAAACTGGAACATATGTGTTGAATTGCATGGTAGCACTTTGTAGTGTTTTGACGTAGAAGCTGTATTTTTCTGAGGTAGGGATTACCAAACACACTGTTAAATCCCCTGCAGCTTTTCCTGTCCATCTATAACCCCAATGAAGAACCCACGCATCAGGGAGTCAGGGAAAACACAAAACACATCTAATGGCCCAGGTATGTACAGCTGCAGAGGTTAGGAACTGGAAAGTTATTCCTGGAATTTTAGAAAGATATTAAAAGATGTGTATTGTTTGGGAGATACCTTTGCTGTTATCCTACCATTAGTACACTCTGTGAGATGAGCCAGTGGCACCCCAGTTTACTGATACAGTTCTTGTCTAGAAATTATCAACATGATCCAAGTCAATAGTTTTGATAAGCAAACATTTTGATAAAGAGTTGTGTTAGGAGTAAATCCTATTTTTCCCTGTACAGTCTTATGACTGTTTACTCATTCATTCATTCAGTGACATTTCATTGTATTGATTATTCACTGAGTGTGAAGTATATGTTCCAGACCTTTTGCTGGAAACTTGACATAGGGTTAAGTAGGCTGCAGTCACTGCCTTTCTCATCTTTATCAACTGAGAGACTACTGAACTTTATCACCACTAATTTAACATTATGTTGTAACAGTCTAGCAGTTTTGTAAAGGTGGTACCTGGTCACACGAACAAAGGTGTTATTCCTAATCGATGTTAGGTTATTCATTGTAGAAATATACTTGTTTGTAAACCACATTATGGAAGTCTTGTAGTTGCTTTAAAAATTGTGAGCATTGACCTAAAGTAGATTGTGTTCCTAAACAGATTTTTTTCTTCCTACTTAACCTCAAGTGTTTTGTACTACTGACTTTTCCCCCTGGAAACACGGTGACTTTGTGTTTGACTGTACAAATGGAACCATTTAAAGTTCTCATCTCTGTGACAAAAATCACACTCTGACATGTGTGGGTTTCCCACAGGGAGGACTATTGATCAACCACCATGCAGATCAGTCTCTGAACAGTTTTTGTCAGTGGCAGTCTGCCCTCATTGGAAAGAATGGCAAGAGGCATGACCACGCCATCTTACTCACAGGATTTGACATTTGTTCCTGGAAGAATGAACCATGTGACACTCTAGGTATGGTATGAACAAATCCTGTTAGCTGAAAACACAGTCAAAACTATCTCATGGGTAGGTGGTCTTTGTGATGCTCATTAAAGAGACGTACTGCAGTCATGTGTCACTTAATGATGGGAATCCATTCTGAGAAAAGTGTTATGCGACTCCGTGTTGTGTGACTATGCTGGAGGATGCTTAAACTGAGGTGGTTGTGATGACACTGGACAGTGTACTCTTATGGGAGCACTGTCATACATGCAGCCTGTTGCTGACTGAAACATCATTATGCAACACATAACCCTATTTAAATGAGGATATTTGTGTACCCTGGTGAACACTGTTCTGTTTAACTGAACTCTATGTGGAGTGGGGAGCGCATTTACTTTAATCATCTTGTTTTTGTTTTTATTGACCCTATTAACGAATACTGAGTTATGAGGCAAGTCACTGTGTAGCTGGACAGGTTGTAGGTTGTTCACTAAACTTCATGACCAGGGAAACACATAGCTGAAGAGAATTGGCTGGTTTCCATGGTACCTAACTGTGCCACTCACTGCCAGTATCTCCTTTGGGAAGGTACTTGACTTTGAAAAATTCATTTCTTCCATTTTTGTACAAAGCATTGAAAGTAAGGATGGGTATCCTGTACATCTGTGCTGTATTTTCTAATATATCCCATTGTATGTAGTAAGACTTTGATCATTTTTTATGATTGTCTAGATCACAGATCAGCAAAACTTTCTCTCTGTAAAGGGCCCCAGGTCTCTGTTGCAACTTACCTACATAAGCGCAAAAGCAGCCGTGGGCAATCACAAACCAATGAGTGTGGCTCTATTCTAACAAAACTCCACTGACAAAACCAGAACATGGAAGCCACAGTTTACTGATATAGCTGAAGGTCCAGACTGGTGATAAAATTCGGGAGAGCTAAAAAATGTTTATGTGACTTACCCCGTAATTCTCTTCTTCAAAGTGCTTTCTAATCCCTGAAGATATATTACAGGTAAAGGTAGACTGGACTTTATAAAACTTACTTTGTAGGTGCTTCTGGCTTTCTATAATTTCTCTATTATACCTTCTAAAATAGGTCTACTTTAGTAATTTGCCATTCATCACAGTCTTCAAAAAGCACAACCATTTTGAGAGTATTCCATAGGAAGGGGTTTTAAAATAATTTTGAGTTCAGGTTGTGAAAGTGCTATCTAATGATTCAGGACATTGTTGAGGTGTTAAAAATTTCCAAGGAGGCCATTTTATCATCTACTCAGAGACCAAAGTATAAGGAGAGACCTGGAAAACAATGCAGCCCAAGAATCCCTCCAGCGGTCCTATAGGTCAGTCGTTTTAAGCAGCATGTTTTAATGCAAAGAGCTCAGGCTTTGGCTTCCGATACACTGTGCTTGATTTCCAAACCTAGAGTTTGGGACTACGGGATCCTGATCGGGTAGATCACCTGAGTCTGTTTTCCAATCTGTAATGATCTGCACACACTAAACATGCAGTGGAGGCGCAGCACAGTGAGTTTGGCAGCCATTCATTTAGGGATGACGATGACGATGACTAAGATGATGATGGTGCCACTCTCGGTATGCACCTTTGAATTAGATTTCCTGGATGCTCCCACATCTTGGCCAGGAAGTAGGTACAGTCAATTCACAAACAGGAACTTGATGCTGCACGGGTGCCTGACCTGGTTCTACTGATTATTAGGACCCAAATCGGAAGAAAAATATTGACACAGTAATGTAGATCAAGAGTGAGTCGAAAGCTCACTGGAACAATTTGTTTTCAGTACTGGGGATCAAACCCAGGGCCATGTGCAGGCGAGGCAGGCACTCTACCATGGAGTTACATGCCCAGCCCAGTGGAATGATGTTACAGTTGCTCACAAAAGGAGGTCACTTTGGAAAACAGAAATACCACATTACAGTGAATAGGAGGAAAAATCAGTTTAATGTGCACAGCCTGCCCAGGCATGTCCATGTTTTCTGCTGTAGAGAAAGATCCAGATGTGTGTTTTCCCATGGAAAATACATCCTGCATTTTGACATTAATGCCACTGTTAAATAAATATTATGTTGTGGTCTAGCTATCATTTGAGCAATCACTCTGAGTCAAATAATAAACTTAGCTAAGGCATGCAAATCTCCTGTGACTTCCTCTTGTCTATGTAAAGTGTGAATTACAATATGCCTACTAACCTCCCTCAGTTGTTAGGCAGAACAATTTATGGCGATATCTAAACACAGCAAAAATTATGAAATGTTGCTTCGTAATTATTTTTATAGGTACTTTTAGTATTCTCCTGCAAACAATTACTTGCTTTAAAACCCAGTAAGAAAAAACTGTGGAGCATTTTGAGGACACAAGAAATGACCATGTACGTATGCGTGTCCTCTTGGGATTAACTTGTGAAATGGATCTCTCCGCAGGGTTCGCCCCTATCAGTGGAATGTGCAGTAAGTACCGAAGTTGCACCATCAATGAAGACACGGGGCTGGGGCTCGCTTTCACCATTGCCCATGAGTCTGGGCACAAGTGAGTCTATGAGAACTGGCCAGGGGACTCATTGGCATTGCTTTAATGATGATGATTGATTATTACTGATCTAGGTCGAATCCATAGGATGAGTCTATGTGATGCCAAGAACAATGCCCAACTATAACAAGGGCTCAGGAACCCAAAGTATAAATAATTTAAAAAGAAAAATAAAAGACAATAGGAAACAGGAAGCTAGATCTGCTGTGTATGGGAAGGGAACCTAGAAACAGGGAGAGTGGAGAAGGGAAATAAAAAGAATTACGATATGTTAAGTATGTGTACTTCCTAAGATGAATGCAAACAGTATGTGCTACTAATATGTACTAATAATTAAAAAAAATAAAAATTTTAAGTCTAAATGATTGAGTGTAATTAAATAATGAATGAAACATTTTAATAAAAATTTAAAAATTTTCCTTTTCTACACTTTCTATAAATGGAAACATATAAGGTCTTTTTGTCTAACCTTTTTCACTTAGTGTTACATTTTTGAAGTTCAGGAAAAGCCAGTTATTGTTGATGTTGCTGTGTTTATGTTGCATCATGTTACACTGTGTTCACAAATGGACTGCAAATTATTTAACCTATTTTCTGGTCTTCAGATATTTCTTTTTTTGTGTGTGTTGCTTCAGCAAAGATAGTTTTAGCTCATTCTTTATACTAAAGAATGAATCATGGAGACATATAAATTGCCAGAGTGTCTTGGTGTGCTGATTTTTAAAAAATTTTACTGCAGATTCCAGATATTCTTTTACTTGGTAATATTGTATGTGCTTACTATTCTTTCAAGTAGTGCTAATTAAACCATTTGTGAGAATGGACTTAGAAATGAGGAATGAGAGTAATGAGGTTAATTCATTTTACTAGGCATATAATTTGTAGACGATACTACAGAGAATTTTCAGTATTATATTACCGTTAGCAGCTGCATTGAAATAAGTATACTGCTTTACGAAGTGACTATTTTAAGAAGCAGATCTGTTTGGATATGCCACTTTAGGAGTGACTGTGTGTGTGTATATACATATGTATATATTTTATTCAACAGATACTTTATACATGTTCAGAGTATCTAATTCAGTTCTGACTTAAAAGCAAATATCACCCATTTAACAACTATAATATATACATTGATATTTTGATGCTGGTTCCTTTTATGAGGTGAATTTATTATCTTTAGGAAACTATTAGTTTTTGCTTTGAGACAAGGTCTTGCTATTGGCTTTGAACTCACTAGGTAGCCCAGACTGCCCTCAAACTTTTGGCTGGCAGTCCTTCTATCTCAGTCCCTCAAAAGCTGGAATTACAGGCATGCACCACCATGCCCAGCACCTTCAGGAAAATTGATTCTTAACCATACTGTGATCCAGTGGTTTCCCAGCATTTTATTTATATATACACATAACCACTTACTCAGCGAGACATGGATGAGCCAACTTTACTGTGAGAAGAGGTGTAAAAATGCCCATCATATACAAGGCTCCTTTGTACAGAGTAGGAAATAAAATATCTGTGTATATCAAGCATATGTTTAAATTTGTTTCACCAGCATGAAATCCAAATTAAAAGCTCTCATCAAATTCCTGGCTGTTGAAAATTTTAATCACTCTTGCTTATTAATTCAATTTATTCAGAATCAAAACCCAATATTTTATTTTTTTATTTTTTTTATTTTTTATTTTTTTGGTACTGGGGATTGAACTTGGGACCTTGCGCTTGCGAGGCAGGTGCCAGAACCACTGAGCTAAAAACCCAATATTTTAGATTTAAAAAGAAATTCTCCAGGTAGGATGGAAGAGTCAGAGGTAGAAGAACAAATGTAAAATACTGAAGTTCTGTGTAGCATGACTTAGGCCATCAAGTTTTTTTGTTTTGTTTTGTTTTGCTTTGTTTTTTTGGTACCAGGGATTGAACTCGGGTCCTTGCGCTTGCGCAGCAGGCAGCAAAACCACTGAGCTAAATCCCTGGCCCCTAGGCAGTTAAGTTTTATGAAACTCACAGTTCCTGAGATTTTGATATGACTTTTGACATGTGCTAGAGAAAATAAATTATATTCTAAAATGCTTATGTTTAAGGTATAAGATTATAAAATTTAGATTCAACTCAAGTTGGGTTTTCTGTGCTCACAAAATTCCAATGAGATGCTAAAGACTTTACCTCTTTGAGTAATGGCTTTAACTCCATCTTCTTTTTGGAATTCTCACTTTATATGTATAGTTTTCCCTTTTTTTTTTTGACTTTCATGAACATATTTAGAGGCATTGTGTCCCAAACAAGTCTCCTTAGCTTGCTGGTCAAGTATAAAAAAGAATTGAGCTGAGAATAACTGAGGATGAGAAAATGCTTTCCATGAATATATGGTGAGATTCGTAAATGTTTGTTAATGGTCACCTCTAAAACCTAGGAAATTCACTGATAGGATCCTAGTGCACAGCCATCCTTTCTTGCTTGCTGGGTAAATTGGAAGGAAGGCTGGAAAAATGGCTATATTATGGACACGTGGATCACAAAAAAATCTTATCTACAATTATAGCATATTTGTTTGGTACAGACTGCCTTTAAAAGGTAGCTATATACATAAATGAAATTGTATTACAATAAGGTATTTATTTCTACTGGATAAAACATATTCTGAAGGGGCAAGTTTTACATCTTTAATGAGATTAAGAATCATCTAAATTGTGCTAATTTCTAGGGAGTAGAGCACGGAAAATTATTTTTAATTGCTAGAACATTTTGCAGTGAACTGGGACAAATGAAAGTTTTCTTATATTTAAAGAAGTCCTTCATATGCCTTCAACAGATGGTTTCAACCAGTAAGTTTTAAAGGTATTTATTATAATGAGGGAATTTAATTATAATCAGAGGTTGTGATTTCTAGCTAATAAATTGATCATCACAGGAAAGATGTTTTTATATCATAGTAGACTTCAGTATGGACAGTCCATAAATAGCCTATGATTACCTTCCCTCCATACCTACCTCTTGCTCTCTGAACTTCCATCCCATCGTTCTACAGCTGGTGGCAAGAAAAAAGTTTTGCTATGTGAAATTTTTGAAGTTTACTATCCTATCACTTTAGTTTACCTTAGAAATCTTGACCAAGATTTTCTAGCCCTTAAAATGTGTAGCAGGCACCAGGTATGGTGGCTTATGTCTGTAATCCCAACACTCTGGGAAGCTGAGGGAGAAAACTGCAACAAATTTGAGGCCAGCCAGGGCTACACAGCGAGTTCAAGGCCAGGCTGAACTACATAGGGGGACCCTGTCTTAAACAATTGATAAATGTGTAGCATATACACCATTATTTGATTTTTGGTTCCAAAAAATAGTGAAGTTTTAGCATTCTTTAACATTTTCTGCATGAAGTCAGGTGTGGTGGTTCTTGCCTCTCATCCCAGTACTCTGGGAGACTGAGGCAGGAAGATTGCAAATTTGAGCCCAGCCTGGGCAATTTAGGAACTTCAAAAGACCTTGTATCAAAAAGTAAAAGCCCAGGATATAGCTCAATGCAGAAATTCTGAGTTCAGTCCCCAGTACCACACATATACATACAATTATCTGCTTGAAATTTACAACAGTTCATAGTAACTCATTTTGGTCTTTCTCTTTCCTACAAGTGCAGTAACCACTGCTCACCTCAAGTCCATGAATCCCCAGTGCATCTTTTTGCATCCTCTGGTCACAATGTGAACCGTGGCTTTCTTCCTTCTGTTTCAGCTTTGGCATGATTCACGACGGGGAAGGCAATCCGTGCAGGAAGGCTGAGGGCAACATCATGTCTCCCACACTGACAGGAAACAATGGGGTGTTTTCATGGTCTTCCTGCAGCCGACAGTATCTCAAGAAGTTCCTTAGGTAAGACAGGTCAAAGCTGGCCTGTTCCCAGCTTTGAAGTGGTGACAGAGAATTGTGTTCAATAAGTGTGAAAATGGACAGTGGAAATACCTGTTGACACCTTGGTGAACAGAAAGATTCACAAGTTTCTATGATGATAATAGCAACATTATTGTTGTTGAAAAAATAAGCCAAAGCCAATAATCTGCTAAATGCTTTCCGGACATTGCCTCTTTCAGTCCTCACAGTGATGGTATCACTAGCTCCATTCTAGAGTTGAGGTGGAGTCATAGAGAGATTAATGGTGTTGCTAAGATGCTACAGGTGGTGAACTGTAGACAGAGGGCTCCCAGTGGGGTCTGGGCTTAGTCCAGGGTCTCTACTTCTAACCCTGTCTCTTTCTTTTGACTTCCACAGGCTGCTGAGTATATTGCCTTTTTCCTGTGACCAATTATTTTAATCTGATCGATCAATTTGTTTTAGGAGTATTTTTTAAAATGCTCTAGTAGTGTGTGTATTTAATGAACAGAGCATATTCTTGATTAGCTGTTTTGTTTGAAATGGCTAGAGGCTGGCTCTGTGTCCAAAGACATCTAAAGCAGATGCAGCTATATACAAACCTTTTGATGGCTCAGAACTCCTAGACGGCATTAGTAATAGTAGAAGTTAGGAAAGTACAATTCGATTCATATTAAACAGTGATCTCAAAGTTGGTTTATATGCATGTAGGTAGATCTTTTGAATTTATGTTGACCCACACAGCCATGTAGGTTCTACCCCCATTGGCTAGATATTAGTGAAGTCTCTTTGAGAATTCCTATTTTTTATTCTTTTGCATGCATGTAAATATATATTATTTGTAAATGTTTAGAGAATTACCAAGATACAGAGAAGCAGGTCAAATTAAATTAAGGATGTCTAATTAAATGATCCCCAAAGAATTGTAAAAAAGGGATAAACCTTAAGCTAATAATAAGCTTTGCTAGTAGACTTTATTCATTTTACATTCATGAGTTGGGGCCCAAAGTTATCTTTTGTAACTTGTGTGAGAATGAAATTAATAAATATTATAAACTAAGATCAACTTGTTGTAGATTGAATTTCCATTATTAATTTGCTATAGTTAAATGCTTTAGTATAGGAATGATAATAGCAACAGCCGCTGACTTTGCTTCCTTTGCTGTTTTAAGCGTGTTAGATTTTCTCATTTGATCTGTGTAACTGTTGTGGGAGTCACTGTTATTAATGAGGTGATGAGAGTTATCAGTTCAGTCTTGGATACATGGTCAGTAGGACTCCTGTCTGGCTGGCCACACTGCTACATTTAACCCTCGGTAGTAGCGCAGTTCAATTGTTTAAATGGACAGAAGATGCTAAGAAATTTATGTCATCAAGACTGATTTTTGTTCTCAACATGTCCCAGTCAAACATACCTTAGGGCAGTTTTTCTGCATAACACCCCAGTGTATTCTTTCTTCCTCTTCTTTCAATAGCTTTATTTTTGTTTATGAAGCTTATTTGAGGCAGAGTACATCTTTGACTTCTCCCTCACCATCTATAAATATGATTTAAAACTCAACAAAGATAGGTGCCTCGGTTTGGATTATTTTGTGCCCTGAGTACTTAGCTGAATGCTTAGCATGTAGTAGTCACTCAATAAAAATTTATGAGTATTGTTGAACAAGACTGTCAAAGGAAGTTTCCAAACATTTACCTTTCCTGTCTCCAATCCCAAGCCAAATGAGTAGATTTGCTAGAACTTCCAGCTCCTTGAAAAGCTTATCATTCTTTGGGGGGAAAAAAGTCCATTGTTTACTTTAAACATATGCCTATTTCTTTAATGTGTTTTTGTTTGTTTTTGTATGGCTGCATGCACAAGGGTTTTGTTTTAAATGAAAATATCACAGTTTAGCACAATAACTAATGAAGATGTGCTATCCCTACAGCACACCTCAGGCTGGGTGTCTAGTGGACGAGCCCAAGCAAACAGGACAGTATAAATACCCCGACAAACTGCCGGGGCAGATTTACGATGCAGACACACAGTGCAAGTGGCAATTTGGAGCGAAAGCCAAGTTATGCAGCCTTGGTTTCACAAAGGTATGTTTGCTTGTGATTTCAAACTTACATTAAAATTCCACAATGTGTCTGCGTGCCTACCAGAAGGATAAACATTTGGTTCGCTGAGGGCAAAGGTCAGAGTCTGGGTTATCTAAAATGTCAGCTGTTTGGCATGATAATTAAGTGGCAATTTTACTGTCGATGAATTACCCAGGCTTATTCCCCATAGACGTTGTCTGGTTTAAATGCCACTTACTACATGCTTGGAAGAAAATTCCTCTTAGATGAACACTTTATCCCCAGTACTAAATCTAGGAGCAATACCTTTTACCTACTGCTAATCACTGTTTTTGTTCTCTTCTTATTTCATATTCCCTTTTAATTTAATACACTTAAAATGATCACCAACCCAACCTTATAATATAAGAAAACTATTACTGACAGCCAAATTTACTTGTATGTAAAAATTTAAGGTGTGTCTTGAGACTCTTAATACGGTTTTTATTGGAGAATGTTAAACAGAGAAATAAGGAAATGTAAAAGTCCAAGATACAGAAATGAATGAGAGAAACTTTGTTCTACTTGGTCAAGAATTACATCACTGACAGCATTATAATCTCACCATCTCTAAAGAGTTGAATCATTTTAAAATTGGTTTATTCCTAGTAGTCAGTGAGAAATACTGAGGTCTTAGGTACTCGGATCCATGAAATCTATGGAGGTTAATAGCTCCTCTTTCTCTCTGTATTTCTATTACTCTTCCCCTTTCTCGTCCTGCTCTTCTTTTCCCTATCTATCCTTGTCCACTACCCCCCACCAATAGCACCAGTGTTATCACCAACAGGAACACTCATTAGCAACACCACTGCCATCATAGCAGTGCCTGCAGCATGACCATCACATCCACCACCATCTCCACTCCCACTGCCCACTACCATCGGCTACCACCCAGCATCACACTACCTCCACTATGCACTGTCACCCAGGAATTTCTCAGTGAGCCTCTACTCTAGTAAGGGATTTCTACTTAGAAATTTATTTCACCTGAACTCAATCTTCAAAAAATCTTTGAAGTCAAAAGTAATACAACTTTTCACTTGGATCTCAGTGAAGGCATTTAATTTGCCCAAACCCACAAAACTTTTAAATGATGGACTCTAAACAAAATAAACCATCCGCATTGATGGTAAACTTCCTCCTCTCTACCACTGAATACGGTTTTTCCTAATCTTCAGTCACTTACAACTACCTTCACTTGTTGTGTGATGTCTCTGTATTTTTATTCACTTACTGCTTTTCTGCAAATCAACTCACTTTCAAAATATAAATCCATTCCTAGGAAAAATATCTCCATACCAAACCTAAGATTTGATAGATATTTTTCCTAGGAATGGACTTATATTTTGATTTGGTATGGAGATACATATTTTAAATGCATTTTAAGTGTGTAATTGTTGGCTAGAGATGTGGCCCAGTGGAAGAGCACTTGTGTGGCATATGTGAGTCCCTGGGTTCAATACCACCACCACAAAAAAAGTGTAACTGTTAAAAATGTGTATCCAGATCCACAAATTTTTTTTTTCACATATCCTCCCTGGCAGATGAGCTTTACTTTGGTAGATGCTGGCATATCATATGTAAAAAAATAGCAAATTCTCAAATGTTCCTATTAGCTTGTTACAGTGAAGCTTTTGGTTGAAGTAAATAGTCATTTACATTGTTGAAAAAAGTTCATCTCCTAACTTTGCCCTTATTCGCTTCATTCTGGAAGACTCATTAGTTTTCCCAATCATCAATCAAATATTATGCATTTACTATGGAGCATGTGAATGCCGAGGTTCCTAAAATTACTATAGTCCCTCCAGGATCATACATTCAACAAACATTTGTGGGGTGCCTGTTCTGCATCAGATAGTGTACAGGGCTTAAAGAGCCGTTCTTAAATTATAGATCATTTTCTGGAAATACACCATATTTTTAAAAGATAGTATTTTACTCTGGGGGTCTTCTCAGCAAAAAGCAAAGGGAGAGGAAAATTCCAAACTTGAAGATGGACTGAAGTGATGAAGAGCATGGAAATAGGAATGTCTGGCGGGGTAGGGAAATTTGCTTAAGAGCAAGGAATGGTTTAAGATAATGATAAGGTGAAATGGAGCAAGTAGGGTCGCTGGTGGAACCTGAATGTGGATTTTTTGAGGAGGCCACAGCTGAGCTTTGGATATTCTCCCTAACCCTGACCACACCTCTGAGGACCATGAATACAGTAGTTCTCTGTCAGGCTCTAGTGAGGAGGGGTTTCCAAAACAATAAAATCCCTGTTTATCCAGCTCGGCACAGTTTAGACCACCTCCAGCTGTGGGAGAGAGGTGACATTTGTCTCTGGGACCTTTGTTGTCCTATGCATTACTTTCTCTTTCCTTAGTTTGTGTGCCCTCTTTCTTTTTCCCTTTCCTCTTCTTCCCTCCCCATCCCTCCCCATCTCTTTCCATTCCATCCCTTCTCAGTAACACTAACCCTTCTCCGTGCTTCCTAAAAAAGCAAGTTTGGATAGTAGCGAGAAGTACCAAAACCAAACAACCTGATTCTCAAAGTGTCCTCTCAAATCAGATCCAGTATGTCAGCATCACCTGGGACTTGCTGAAGATGCAGATGCTCAGGTCCATCCTGGGCCTGAGGGATGAGAAACTTCAGGTGTAGGGTCCTATAACCTCTGTCTTTAAAGGGTTATTGGTGATTCTGATGCCAGCTGGAGTTCTACAACCCTCAGTCTGTGTACCCTCTCTGGCTTTTAGGGTTAGATCCGGGTCTAGGATGTGATTCCACCACATCCTAGAAGCTTGGACAAATGACTCAAGTGTCCTTCAGCACAAGTATCTACATCTGTAAGGAGTAGATGATAGTATTTCTTCCCTGGCCAACCTGTGAGCAGTAATCTCTCCATATTGTTGTCACTCAATAAGCGATGAGGCATCCCTCTTGCTTTCTTTCACCTATCTTCATTGTCCTGGCAACCATGATACTTGGCTGTTCTTTCACAGAAGCTGCCTTGGCAATGGGTCTGAGCCTGGTTATTTTTATCACTTTTCACTTCCTTTTCTCTCCCAGTGTCAAATTTTCTGTCTTTGGCACATCAAATTTGTTCCTTGTTCCCTTCCAAAATGTTTGTATTTGTCAGTGTTTGATTGTTACACCAAAATACTTGAAGTAGGCTACTAATAAAGAAGAGGTCTCTTTAGCTCACAGTTTGAGAGGTTCCTGAGTATCATAGCACTGGTGACAGCTCAGCTGCTGAGGGGCCTTCTGGCTGTGTCACACTGCAGATGACAGTTGCAAGCAATTGCAAAGTGTGGCTCAAAACTTATGGCAAATGTTTAAAATTTTATTACCATCAACCTGAGTTCAGTCTCTAGTACCAGGTGAAAAATCTATTCTGTATAATTCCATTTATACAAAATTTTAAAAACTACATCACTAATTTGTGATGATGGATATCAGGCCAGTGGTTGCTTCTGAGAGGGGAATTTGGAGGTGAATGTTTTGCCTTGAATATGAGGTGTCTGCAGTGGTGTATATATTTTGGAAAAAAAACTCCCTAAACCATATGCTTAAAATGGGTGCATATTATGGTAGTAAATTATACCTCAGAAATCTTGATTTCAAAAATGATACTGGTGACAATTCTTGTTGATTGTTACTTTTAAATTGTTAATTGTTGCTTTTGAATTAGTGCTTAGTTTAAAAGCTTGGGCAATGAGGTTAAATGTAAGTGGGTTAAATCCAGGCTAACCAGAGACTTACCTGCTAAAGGCAGTTGAAGCATTTGCTTAACTTCTCTTGAATGTTAGCTTTCCTAGTAGCATGTTGAGGAGAACACTTGTACCTTTCTCACAGGGTCATCATGAGGATGCAGAATAATGATTTAGGCAAAATTCTTTATATCAGCACCCAAGTTTTTAGCATATTTTATCAGATTCTTTCTGGTTTTTAATTGAAGACTTTTCTAAAGGGCTTCATGGTCTTATCAGTGAAGATGATTTGTGACTATAAAGTCAATAATGTTCATTCATACATTGGTTTACTACAAAATACTTATTGCAGCCTGCTCTGTAGCAGGTACTGTTCCAGGTTCTTGAGATGCATCAGAGAAAAAGCAAAGTGCCTTCCATGTGTAGCACCGATGTTTCTTTTTTGGTTTTTTTCAAGTTCTTTTATTGGTACATTTTAGGTATACAATTCGTTTGCATTTATCATTGGGTGTTTGTACCTGTACATGATGTATCTTTGTTTTTATTTTTTTCCCATTACCTGTGCACCCTTCACCCCCTGCACCCTTCCCTATTTACACAGACATCATTTCCATTTTTTTTTCTTTTCTCATAGTTTTTCCTTTCCCTCCTTTCCTTTCCCCTTCCCCTCCCTTCACTAGCACTGATGTTTCGATGGGGAGGAAGGCATTGTACATAGATAGTGAGTGAGTCACAAGTGTTAAATAAATGTGGAATAAGAAGGAGAAATTGGGAACTTATAGGTGGTAGGTGATTACATTTTTAATAGTGTGGTCAAAGGTGAAATTTAGGCAAAGACTTGAAGGAGTTAAGAAAATATATGCAAAGGGCCATGTTTGGAGCAAAGTGGAGGTATTTACCAAGCAGTGTGAAGCCAGCTTGGATAGAGCAGTGTGAGCAGGTGAACTGAGGAGATGCCAGGTCAGAAAGATAAAGGGGACCAAATTATTTGTGGCTGGGTGGGGGATAATAAGGACTTTGGATTTTTTTCTGAGTGAAGTGTGATGGCATTGCATGCTTTTGAGCGAAGAAGAGACATGAGCTAGCTAACCTTGGAAAGATGTGGGAAGATCTCCTTAGCTCAGTGCTCTGCCGTAGAACTTTCTGTAGTGATAGGAATGCTCCCTGCCATCCAAGATGGTAGCCACTCATCACATTTCACTCTTAAGAACATGGACTAGAATGATAGAGGAAGTGAATCTTTAAGTAATCTAAATTCTACTTTAACAAGTCGCATGTGGCTGGCTACAGGCTACCATATTGGACAGTGCTTAGTTGAGAATAAATTGGGAAGGAATAGAGGAAAGCAGAGCATTGAGACTTGGGGTTAGGGTAGGGGTGGCAGTAAACCGGCTCACAGGTGGCTTGGAACAGGGTGGTAGCCATGGATGTGATGATATTTGTTCAGATTCTAGGCTGTTTTGAAGGTAGAGCCAATATGATTTCATGGTCTACTGGCAAATTTCCTAATGGAAAAGGAGAGAAGTCAAAGGTGACTACAGAATTTGGGGCCTGAGAGATAGGAGGATGGAGGTGTCATGAAGTGAAATAGGGAAGGCTGATTATAGAAAAGGCTTAGGGGACTGATGAGGAATTTTATTTTGAATGTGTTAAGTTTGAGATGCGTTGTAAAATTTGATTTTCAGACACCATGAACATTTTTGGCATGGTGGGTTTTATTTGAAGGATTGTCCATCCTGTGGAATAAAGCCAGAGGACATGGTCACTGAGCAGCAGGATGGAGAGTGGACTGTGTTGAGTCTCTTCCCTTAACAATGTGGTCTCGTTCAGACAAATCATATCCAGGCAACACGGGACCTCAGGGTCTGTATAGTAATTTCTTTTTTCCTTAAATTATGACTTAAGTCCAGGTAATTATAGATAAGAAGTTGGTTGAATATGCTGGAAGAAAAAAGAGGGAGGTATAAGCAAAAAAGTGCAAACCCCTCTTTGTGTTTACTTTGAAAGGGAGCTTTCTCAGAGGGCTTCCTGGTCGTCAAAGCATGTAGTTGGGTATAATTACGTTTGACTTCTGCACTTCACCACAGAAGAAATAACATGTTCATACAGCCTGTCTTGTTTTGCTCTGCAATCCTGATGTTTTGTTTTGGTTTGGTTTACTTTATTCCCCTGGCCCTCTGCAGCCGTCCCTCCTCTCAGCTCTGTGGCCTGGCACTGGCCGTGGCGTCCAGCCTCCTTTCTGTGGTCTGCCCTAGGGTCATTTTGGAGGCAGCCACATAGGCTGTGGCTAGGGCTTATAGCTTTCTATAGATGTAAGGAGGACAGAAGTCTAATTCAGAAAGCCTTTGTAAGTGTGGCTTCAACTGTTCCGAAACTGGAGCCCTCATTCTCCAGTTTGACCTATACTGGTCTCTCTTCTGTAGTAATTAGATCCTCTGAACCTGGGGTGTCTTCATCTGGAAGCATATAGACGTGGGAGGTTACCTCATTCTTCTTGTTGACATAACTAGCACTTTCATGGAAAGATGTATCTTTCATGTATCTGTAGTGTCTTGTGAGCTTTGAGATTTGGAGATGATCTCTGTGCTCCTCTCTGGGGCTGCTGCTGTTGGTAGTGTGTCTAAGCATTGACATGAATATCCTTCCATTCTCTATGGGAGGGAGGAATTTCACAGTCTCATAAGATGAGAATCACTGCATACATCTGGTTTTCCTGTTTGCGTAGTGCAGCAGAAAGTGTTTTAATGTATGAAATATTACTAATTGTGTTTTTATTTTTGTAAAATATTAAGTGGAATTCTTGAGGAATCGAGTGTCTACTTAGTTGAATTTCCAGAGTTATGTTAGGTATCCACAAAAAATCATGTTGTCTTCTTTTCTGTTGTCAGTATTTTCCCTCAAATGTGTGTGTTTACATTTTTACCTCAGTGAAAAGAATGTGGCGTACAGGATGGAGTCCCTCTGATGATTTCTCATGTCTCATGACAGACATTCCACTGGTGACATAATTCAGTATAGCAACTTGAGCTCCTCGAGTTGGAAGTGTCCTGTTCAGTGCCCTTGCTTTATAAATGAGGAACTGAGGCCTGGAACGACGGAGAGCTTTCCAACATCCATTCATGGCAAAGCCGGGTCCAGACTAGTGGTGGCGGACCTCGACTCCGGAACCGGGCCAATTTGGGTGCTGACTGACCCTTGGCAGCTGTGTGACTTCGCAGCTTTGAAAGTGTTGGTAGCTTGTCCATTTCCTCAGCTAAATGAGTTTCTCCAAATAAATTATCTCTTGCTACCTCCCAGCCATTATGAAACCATAAATGTAAAGTGCTGTGGAGCCTTCCTACTCCTGTGTTGCTCAAGCCTGCTACTTTGCTATAACAACTTCGTTTGCCTCTTTCTGAATACTTTATCTGATTTCAGTGGCCCCACAATATACTATTGTGTATAAAACCTGTGACTATTTTCATTTTTCTGGCAACATCCTCATTAGCATCTTCTTTCCTTTCAGGACATTTGCAAATCACTTTGGTGCCACCGAGTGGGCCACAGGTGTGAGACCAAGTTTATGCCGGCAGCCGAAGGAACCATTTGTGGCCTGAGTATGGTAAACTGCATACTTGTTAGTTTTTAGCCCTGGAAAGTTGAAAGACGTAGAACTCAACCTGACTACTTGTATTGTGACCTTAGAATGCAGTGCCTTGGCTGCATGTATTTTCTGCCTTCTCTTTATAGTAACCAGCGTTATGTAGTATGCTGAATGCTAATATAACCAGCTAGTTCAATTACTTAAGGTTTTTTTTTTTTTACTTTGTTTTCCTTTTTTTTTTCAGATGGAGGCTTGAGTCAAAATATCAAAGTATTTCACTCAGCTAAGAGGTTTCATTGCATACTTTTAACCTTGATGCTTTCTATAAAGGCCTCAGGGAGCAGTTGTCACTCCAGACCAAAGCCTCAGCTGTTCTGCTCACAGGAGCTGTGTCTGGGCTTCTGCTGTGCCCACAGATGTCCGTCACTCACAGTGACTGCCATTGAAGGGTGGGGGCTTCTCCCTTCATGAAAGCACCCTCATGTATTAGTTGCTGTTTTCCCCCTTTTCCCAGTAATCTTGAGGGCAAGTTGCACTTGAAGGACCAGTAAATGGTTCAGATTTGGGAAGTTCATTTGAAAGACCATGGGAGAGTTGCTGTAAATGATGACCTTTGCAGGTTTGCTGATCTCAGCCTGTGTAGAAGACAGGGCCATTTAAAGCAAATCCAGTTCCCCAGTGTTCTTTGGAGTACTAGATGTCAGGTACAGGAGACTCTGGGATACAGAGATGAAGGTAATTCAGTCATACCCCTTCAAGACTTTACAGTCCAGTCAGGAGACCTGTGCAGAAGCCAGCGCCTCGAACTCTCTTCAAGGCACACAGTCTTTAAGCACTAGTTGCTATCAGGGCCAAGAAGAATGAGACGTGAATCGAGTTTTGGATTAGGTATGCACTTAGAATAACTACAATGAATGGGTACAGCAAGGTGGGCACTGGAGTTTACGTAGACGTTCTTCAGTGGCATAAGAGGAATAAATACCTTTGTAGGGAAAGGCCAAAAATAGAAGAGAATCACCGACGTGCCAAGCAATGGGTATCCAGCAAATGATTGTTTTCTGATATTTGTTAAAGCACTTATTCAATATATTTTAGAAGATTTGTGATGTTTAATTTTAAAGATTTACTTATTTTAAAGATAATAAACATTTTAGAAATTGGAGTTATGCACAAATTTTAATCAGATATTACTAGGAAAATTACTACTAGGAAATTGCTATAGGATTCTCACTAAAATGCAATAGAAGTATTATAGCTGTGGTGATACAAACAATGAATTAACAAGATCATTGAAAACATATCAAGTCACTTGTTTTGAAGCCTCAAAACTTAGAACATGCAACTTGAGTATTAATGGATTTTCAAAAGGAACAGCATTAAACATAGGAAGTGTTGACAGAAATACAAGAAAAGATTGATATAAATAAGGAAAATAAGTAATGTATAACGTAGGTTTAGGGTTTGTTACATAAATACATCAGGGATCTGATTCTGTGGGGATTAAATGCACCTGCATTGGACTTCAGTAAGCAAAGCAAGAGATAAATTAGGCCAGAAATTTAAAAACAAATGCCCAGTATACCACTGCTTCTCCCATTAGTCTCTAACTTAGGTTATAAGTTATATGCTGGGGGAAATCCCTGCACTGTAAAGTCACCCTCAGCAGAAAGCATCCTGGTCAACTCCAATTACCGTCACTCCAGTGTAATCATATATCCATTCATTCATCCCTCTGATTCTTCCTTCATCAGGGCATGTAGCTAGCTCTTTACTGGGCTGCAAGCTCCACGAGGGGCAAGGTCATGGCTTAGTAATGTTTTTTGTTTTGTTTTGGTACCAGGGATGGAACTTAGGTCCTTGTGCTTGCCAGGCAGGCGTAGTGCCACTGAGCTACATCCCTGGCCCAAAGTCTGTTTGGGAGGAGGAGGTTGTTCTTTATGTTTTGTTTTGTTTTGTTTTTTGAGACAAGGTTGCACTATGTAGCCCAAGCTGGCCTTGAACTTGCCTCAGCCTCCCAAGTGCTGGGAGTACAGGCGTTTGCCGCCACTCCTGGCTAGTCATGTTTTATCTGAGCGCCAGGTGCAGTGTAGCCACTGCTTGATGTTTGTTGTTGTTGTTGTTTTTCTGTAACCAGAAGAACCCAATGCAGCCTTCCCTTTGCTGCTCCAGCCTCTTGTCCTTCAGGGATATGTGCACTATCAATAATCAATCAATGCTTGAGGCCATAAAAGCTATATACTTCCATCTCAAGATGTGTGTGCAAAAAAGAAAGATTTGTGCCTGCTAACTACCAAAAGGTATTGGTGCAAAACAGCACCATTCAATTTGATATTAGAAGTAGTGCTAGAGCTATGTATTTGTGGATAGATGGATAAAATCAGATATGCGTATATTTAATATTTACTTTTATATGTGGTTTACATATGCATATGATTGACTGTATATGTATAAATTCCTGTATATTCTTAGTTTCTACACTGAAAAATCAGAGGGAGGCAAGTTGTCATCAGCCTCACCCAGTCTAGGATCCACACTGAAAGAATAAAAAGTCTGATTAATTGACTGATTAAAACATCTAAAAAAAGTTTATTTACAGAAAAGACATTAGATTAACATTAAGATATATCCATCAGTAATATAGCTCTGAGATGAGAAGTCCCGTTTATGAGCTTTGGCTACGAGTGAAATCCAGCCTCTGCTATGTAAGTAGGTGTCTAAGAATCTGTGTGACTGTCAGTATGTTAATATTTCTTCACTTACTTTCTCTCATCTATATAACTAGTATCCAACTCCCCAAACCTTTGTGAGGATTATACGAGATTTTGTCCATGAAGTTCTCCCCACCACTTTTAGGACAGAAACAACTTAAGTGCTGCTGGTGATATTGTTACTGGCTATTATTTCTGTTGTTTTGGCTCAGCCCCTGAGCTCAGCCCAGTGCAGCCCTGTGATTACTGGTAGGGAAGATGCATGCTGATGGTAGATGGAATCCTCAAAGGACCATTCGCTCTCCCCTACCCCTGCAAAGTTCCCAAAATGTTATGCGATCTCATGTGATCCCTGAAATGGCAATTAATCCGGGGAAAAAAATTAAAAACAGAAGAATTAATCAGCACACGGCAAGAGTAGGAAGAAAGGAAGCAATATGTTAACCTAGACAATGTGCACTAGCAACGAGGCCACACAACAACCACAAAGCCAAATGTATCACGGGGGAAATGTGAAGATTTAAAAGTCAAAACAATCTCCCCATAATTCTGTAACCGAACCTCCACTCCTCGGCAAAATCTGGCATGGTCCAAACCCAACCCTTTGTATCTAATTGCAGAAGCTTGTAGGAAAGTGCACAGTTATGCTTAGTCATGCAGAACTTGCTCATAATAGAAGCACCACAGGAGGGAAAATAAAAAACACCATAGGCTAATGCAGCCCCAGGGAGGGAGATGGCCAGCACAGCCTGGAATTTGTTGCAAAGCACTACAATTGGAAAATTCGCCCTGAAAACAGCTCTCACTCTACCTTGTACAGACGCCGGGCCAATGAAAGACTCACATCTAACTCATCAAAGATGCCAAGAGTTCAAAGGCATCAGCGGAACTGAAGTAGGGACCTTTCATATAGACAAATAATCAAAAGGTGTGCTCTGAAGAGTGTGATTTGTTCAGGCTGAGTTAGTTTCATAAGCAATGCTCTGTAGACGGTTTGAATAAACAAAATCGAACGTATATACAGTTGCATCTATTTTTGCGATGAAATAATCACTTAAAATGATTAATTCTTGGTTGATAGCTTAAAAACTGTTTCAGCTTGAGTGAATGACCCGAATTGTCCCTTAGGTAGCACTGTCTGTGGCTGTCAAGGGAGGCTCTGGTGTCATTTTGTCTCCCGTCCTTGGCTGTTGGGTGGCTCACAAAGCCTGGGATTCTCAGCCTGTTGGTGGCAGGTGCACTTCTCTCTAGATGACAGCCTGTCAACAGGCAGGTGGTATCTGGAGTATCTGAGTGTGTGTGTAGCCCAGCAAGGGAAAGGACTAATCAGGGTGTCACGCAGTGTCTTCCTCTGTTACTGTGCTTGTGTTTCTTCTCCTTGTGCTGTCCGAGGCAGTCTTTGACGCGAAGTGTGTCATGTTCTTTCCACAGTGGTGCCGCCAAGGCCAGTGTGTGAAGCTGGGGGAGCTCGGGCCCCGCCCCGTCCATGGTCAGTGGTCCACCTGGTCGAAGTGGTCAGAATGTTCCCGGACTTGCGGCAGAGGAGTCAAGTATCAGGAGAGACACTGCAACAACCCCAAGTAAGACTCTAGCAGAAAGCTGGTCCGTGGAAGACCTTGACCTGAATTCAGCCTGTCGCATGCTGTGTCAAGTGTGGTTTTCTTGCTTTTGCCGACTAGCAGTCAACAGTGTTTTTGCTGTTTGCATACAGAGGCTCTGTACACTGGGGAGTGGCAGGGTGGGCAGAAACCAAAAAGCAGCAAGGGAAGTTCCCCTGTGTGAATATGATGATGGAAGACCCCAGTCTGCTTGGGCAAGGTGGCTCATTCCTATCATCCCCATTGTCCAAGAGGCTGAGGCAAGAGGATCGCAAGTTGTAGCCCCAGTGTAGGCAACTTTGTGCTTGAGTGAGACCTTGTCTCAAAATTTTAAAAGGGTGGGGGGTGAGGATGTAGCTCAGTGCAGAGATCCTGAACTCAATCCCCAGTACCAGAAGAAAAATATTTTTAAAGTCTCCAGTCCTTGCCAGTCACATCCTGAGCTACTTCCTTAACTCTCAGTGAGGGCTCTGCAGTCATACAGTCAAATGCCTGAAATACTGCAGAACAGGGAGGCTAGGCTGTCAGCACGTGTGTGGGCCTCCCAACTGGGGGCGGGGGAGAAATTGAGATTTTTTGCTGTGCAGAAATAGGCACCAACATGTGTTGACAGAGCTACCTGACTTTTCAAGAGACACCAGGGAAGAGAGATCGAGGGTGAAATGTCCCAGTTTTGAAAAATTGACAACAAATTTTTTTTGACTTTCCTTAAAAACAAAGCCAAAAAGCCACTGTGAGGAGCGAGCAAGACATCCATGGATTGAAATTGCCTGTGGTCACTCACGATCAAGTGATACTGGCCTCTGTCCTCAGGGAGTGAAGGTGGATTTCGGGTACTTTCACATGCTCTAACTTACGTGTGAGATAGATATTTCCCCTTTGCGTGCTGATGTAGAAAGAGCTATGCTTTGGAGACGGAAAGATTCCAGATCCCGGATGTGAGGGCGATCTGGCTGCGACACCCGTCACGCCATTGATCACCAGAGTTGGTTCAGCTGAGCTGGCTGGCTAGGCGGGTGTTCCCTTCCTCCCTCACCACTCCATGTAGGGTCCCTCCCGGAGCTGCGCACTCAGTCGAAAAGGACGACCACCTTGATAGAGGAGGACCATTTCCTCTGTCAAGGGTATAGGAGTAGCTGCGCTCCCCTGCTAGAACTTCCACACAAGCTCTCAAGACTCCAGAGCCTATGTTTTCCCCTTCTTAACTGTGTGGGCTCTGTGAAGTCACTTGAACTGTGAGCTTGGGTGTGTGTAGGAATTGGAGATGCATCACCCCCTCAGAATGTTTGGGCAGGACTAGAAATCATGCCTAGAAAATGCCTCAGAGACTAGGGAGCATCTCTTGCACCCTCCACAAAAGGTGCTGGAGCCTGTGTGGTTTTCAGAGTCCTCATTCGGAGCTCGCCACAAGGGCAGCATCACCCAGGGTCACCCCACAGGGGCAGGGGAGAGGCAGTGGCATTACTGGACCTTAGAGGGTGCAGTGGAATGAGGAGAATGTGGTGGGACTTGGAAAATAGGGAATTCGATTTTCCAACGCAATTGCAGTGGTGGCACAGAGCTTAAGGTAGACTCTGAAGCCCAACTGTCCTGGCCCTGCTAGTCCAGGCCACGTGGCCACAAATGATGGGCTCTGTCTGTCCCCGGGGTCCTCATTTACAAAAGTGGGGTGAGAATGGCACCTAACTGGCTGAGATAATCATGGTCATTTGATTTGAAAAGGGGCGGCAGGTAGTAAGCCTGGCATAAATGTTTGGTAAATGAAGAATTACACTAAATAAGAAAACTAAAGCAAAAGGAAACTTTGAAACAAAGTTCTTCATCCGAGTCAGCAGTCTGGGCTGGATAAAAAGGCTAATTTCTTTCAAAATTTAAGGGATACTTTGGGACTTTTTTTTTTTTTTTAAATGTAAGGGTTACTTTAACCATGAACTTTTAGTAGGTGTTGCTTGGGCTATCTTGGGCCCATCTATGGCTTTTCACCTTCAGTACTGCTGAGACGAAGGGCTGGAACATGCCTGTGGCTGTCATCCCTGGCATCTCCCCATTAGGTGCGGTAGGGTCACTTCCCATGTCTCCACCCTCCATAAGAACCTAAAGTATCTCCAGGCTTTGCCCCCTGGCCTACAGGGGCAAAAATCATCTCTGAGACTCCCTGGGGACTCATGAAACCCAGCACTAGGCATAATGGGAAGAAGATTTGTGATGTGTTCATGATTTATGCCAGATTATTACAACTGCCCTTCTGATACTTTGACTGTAGCCCATGTTTTGGATAGGATTGTTAAAATCATTATATTACTTTACATTTTTGAAGTGTATTTCATGGATCTGTTTTTCATACATCACAACATTTTACAATCCCGGTATTTTCCCAAGAAAGAGATTACCTAATTTAATAGCTCTGCTGGTAAAATGCATGAATAATGCCCCTGAGAGTTAAATTAAAACCTTTCTCATATCTACAGGACTGAGAACTCTCATTATAATAGAGCATTGTTTGTGGAAATATCATATTGTAATTTTAGAGATGCCTTATAAAAGAATTAATCACTAAAGTATTTCCACTTGGTGCGGTTTTGTCCCATTAAGCAAGATTAAAGATAATCAAGATACTGTTTACTTTAACTATGCATGAAGTCACAAATAAAACAAGTAGATGATAGGATATCCCAAGATAGTTGAATTAATTGTTCTCTCTCTGCTCTTCATTTGCTTTGTGGTAGTAAAGTGTGTTTTTTTTTTCTCCCTATTTCAAGTTTCTGATTTCTTGCTTCAGTTTCAGCCTGTGGTTCTGTTCACATCACTCAGCCCAACTGTTCTGATTTTCTCGTCTTGGAAGCTGTGTGGGGTTTCTGTTTCATCTAATGATATTTTCCCCAGTATGTATATTCTTCGTACAAAATGAATTATTCCTGGCTGATTTATGGATTTCTCAAGTTTTGGGGCTTTCAAAGAGTTTAAAGGTTATCAATCTCAGAATGGCCTTTGCCAGCACATGTGGGTGCCTCCTTTATCCTGTGCTTATAGTGGACATTTCTCACTGCCCCTGGGCCTGTTTTGTACTGAGCCCTTCTATGCTTTAGGAATCTTTCAAAGTGCATTTCCAGGCATTTGCTCCCAATCAGGTTAGAACCAATACATGGGTTAAAGCATCATCAGATCCAGCTATTTTCCAACTGGGCACCCGGGGCACCCTAACAGCAGCACCCCCTGCCTGGGCACTCCACTGCTAATGGCAGTCAGTCCCAAGTCCTTCAATCTACCATAAAAGAGTCTAGGTGAATTCCTATAAACTCTGTTCATGGAAATGAATGGTGGCATGCTAAGGTATTCTAGAAATTCCCTAAAACATGAGTCCATTCCAGGAGAAGTTATGTACCATTTACTCGAAGGCCACTTAGCAAATGGAGTTCAGAGGAAAGTCTGACTCCAGAGCAATGGTTGAACCAAATCTGTGAACTCTTTCTCACACCAGTAATTCCCAGGTTCAAATACCAGAATCACCAGAGTACTTTAAAAAGAGATACTGATTGCTTTTCCAAACACACATCATATTTTCTTATTGAGAGGGTCTGGGGGCCTGGAAATCCATGTGTATGTGTGTGCATATCTGCATATATGTGTGTGTGTGTGTGTGTGTCTAACAGAGTTCCCCAAGGGATCATAGCAAAGATATAACCAACAGACTTCACAACCAGTTGCGGTCAAGATAAATTATGCACAAGCAAACACACAGTAACATAACCTAGAGACAAAATCAAGTCCTTAGACTTTTGTTTTCTGTTTCTATTTTTAATTTCTAATCATAAAGGACTTGCTCCACCAGGGAGCATTATGGTAGATTTTCGTTTAATTTATCCCAACGCTAATGTTTAAGATTGCAGAAAAATGTACCTGAGTTGGAAAATTTGATGTTTAAAAAGCTCAAATTTTTGCTAGTCTTTACTTTGGATTACTTTGCCTTTATCCCTAATGAAAAATGAAATATATGAATATGGTAAAACCAGATAGTGTAATACCCCCACACAACATGGGCATTTACTACAAAAAGTATGAACTGTTTTAAAATACGTATGATGTATTTGTACTATAACTGCCTCATATTCTTTGTAGGGCTTATAGCAATCGAAATTGCCCCTGTTTTACAGATGAGGGGATTAAATAAAATTGCTTAAAGTCAACCTGGAAAGAGACAGTGAATGTGGGGATTGAACTCAGGACCTTGCCCTTGCAAGGGAGGCATGGCGCCACTGAGCTAAATCCCCGGCCCTAAAACAGTAAATGTTTAAATCCCAGGTCTACCTCCTTGTGAAACGTTGGCTCCTAATCACTGCACTCTCTCTTTCACCCTCTCCATCTTCCCATGCAATCATGGTTGAGTAGGAAAGAATCCCAGGTCTGAGGTTGAGCTCTGCTCTGTGTCTTCTGCCTATGTGACCTTCATTCCAAAAGCTCATTCTGAGCTCTCTGAGCCATTTTTCGCTTCCCCTATAAAACCAGGGAAGACAGGATGTGTTTGGAGGTCTATGAGTTGACAAAGTAGCACTCTGTGGTCCCCTTCCACTTCATTTAATATGAGCAGTCCACAAGAGGGTTGTTTGTTAACTCTCAGAAAGTCTTAAATGCAACAATTAGTTTTAAACCTGTCTTGTTAAGATGACTGGGAATCTTGAGGCAATGATAAAGCACTTTGAGATTTTCTAAATGCTTTTTAGATAAGTTAAGAAGTCTGCAGGGATTTGCTCTAGGACCATGGCCGCTGCATGTTTAAAGAGTTGCTCCACAGTGTTTCGAAATAACATAAAAATTCCATTCTGGCAGCGCAGCCCTTCTTGTTTCTGGTGAATCCATCTTAACATGCAGTTATAGGAGGACTTGGTAAAATATGCTGAATCAAATCCAGAGGTGTTTTTTATAGAATATTTGTGCTTCCTAGAGAGACAAGGAATTTTAATCTCAGAAATTTATGAACTTGGAGCCTCCTTTCATGTTACATGTTGGAATTGAATTTTTGTGTGTGATGATCCACAGTTGAGAAGGCTCTGAAAAGGGGGAGATGAAAAGAAGCCATTGCTTCATGCACAGAATGGACTGGATGAGTAGTTAGTAGTAATTGTCAGTGTGGTTGTCATCATTTTTTCTTTGTTTTGCTTTCTGGCTTTTGCAGATCAGAGTCTGCCCACTAAGATCTTAAAGAGCTTACCATCCGATCATAATTATTTATGTTCTAATGGGATTCCCTATTCTGGAAATCCATTTCCCATTGTGCTTGGCAGGAAAGCCGTGGGCCACCTGCAAAGTTAAAAAGTGACTATGTGGATGAAAACAAGGCAGTATTTTCTCTCAGTTCAGGATGAATTCAAATCAAACACAAGAGTCAGACAATGACCAGAGAAGGCTGTCTGGAGGACTGGCAGAGCTGGGCCGGAGAACACGGCTGATGGGACTCTGTTTCTTCTCCCCAGTGTCCTGACCTTCTCCCTGAGGACAGATGCATGGAAAAGTATGGGAGGAAAAGGAGAGTGTTAGGAAATGGGAGAAAAGTTGGAGGTGCAGGGTGGGCCTGCTTTTATGTCAGTGGAGAGAGAGAGAGAGAGAGAGAGAGAGAGAGGAGGGAGGGAGGGAGGGAGGGAGGGAGGGAGAGAAGCACATAGCACACACATTACTAAGAACATATCAGTGCTTTTACATGTTTCTCTGACACACAGGCAGTCTGACAAATGTCAGAAATATCTTTTCATCAGTTACTAAGGAAATTGCCAGAATATAAAAATTGGAACGGAGATACCAAATAAGTTTAATCACACACATGCCAATTCCAACTAATGAGCCTTGGTAGCATCTGTCTAAAGGTATGTTGAAAAAGATTTTGAGCCCATGTCTGGCTCTGCAAAAAAAAAAAAAAAAAAAAAAAAAAAAGGAAAACAAAGAAAAGGAGAAAGAATACCCTGACTGATTATGTCTGCTGCTGAAGCAAGAATAGATGTGGCCAGTTGTATGCTATACATTTCCATTTCTGTGATAAATGGTCACCTTGATTGTCCCTCTTTACCTTATTGCACACGAGTACCAATGAGGCATTTGACTGCTAGCATTAAAATTCTTGAATTTTATTTTTAGGCCTCAGTATGGTGGCAAGTTCTGTCCAGGATCTAGCCGTATTTATAAGCTGTGCAACATTGACCCTTGTAGTGCAAATAGCTTGGATTTTCGAGCCCAGCAGTGTGCAGAATATAACAGCAAACCTTTCCGTGGATGGTTCTACCAGTGGAAACCCTATACAAAAGTGGAAGGTAATTCATTCTCTGTAACACTCAAATAAATGTCGCTATGTTGAGACTAATGGGAATGAACGACACAGAAGAAATTGCTGCTGACGTGTCAGCATTTCAGTGTTCACCTTTCATTCCCCAGACCTGTCCTTGTTCACTTCTTTGTTAATTTCCATGGGTTTTGTTTATTTTTCCACACCTTTTTTCCCCACAAGAAACCTCTTGTCTCCCACATCTGTAAGTGAAAGGATCCATGTGTGTGGAATATACTTAAGTTTCGAAACTCACCTTTGACATTTCAGCAGTTTCGCCTCCCAGGGATGTTACTTGAAATTGGTATGAACTGTCCAGACCAAAAACTCATGAAACCATATATGCTCCACAGAGACAGCAGCCTCAGCAACTGAGCGGGCAGATGCTTCTGACCACAGGAAGGCCATGTGTTCGTGCATGCACACACACAGCCCTGAATAAGAATTGTCTCTGGGGCCAGGGATTTAGCTCAGTGCTGCTGCCATCTGCTTTGCAAGCGCAAGGTCCTGAGTTCGATCCCCCATAACAAAAAAAAAAAAAGAAAAAGTCATTGTACTAGATTCTCCATGCTTTTTATAGCTTAAAGTTATGGCTTGCACTTCACCTTTTAAATTTGCTTATTTTTATTTTGGCTAAACCCCAAAACATTTATTTTAGTTGGAATATGAGGATTTGATATACTTTCTATCACCTGCACAGAACGAGCTGCCACTATTCTAGTTGTTTCCTTTACACTGTTGTAGCCTCTTGATTTATCGAAACTCGTCAGTGGCAGTTTGAAAAGGGTCCATGAGAATTTATTTCAGCTGTGCCTGTGTAGAAGGGAAGTGACTTGAGGTTTTGATGGTTTACAGGCTATTGCTATGCACAAGCTACAGGTGAACCTATGTGATCAGTTGCCATGGAGGATGCTGATGCAGCCAGAGAAATCTTCAGAACAGAGCCTCCAAGTGCAAAGGCAGGCGAGTGCAGCTTGGCCCAAAATCTGCGGGGCCATTTCATGAGAGGCGATCAGGCTTTGGATCAGGCTTTGTTTATTCAAAAGCCCAGGCAGAGATAGAGATGAGTACAGTAGGTCCTTAATTGACAAACTCAGCTTGTTCCTGAGGCCTGATTGTAACTCAAGTTGGTCAGTTGCCTTCAGAATCTCTCGCTGTCTAGTATTAAGCCACCTTTTCTTCCAGGCAGATCTCAGTGTCCTTAGAGAGACACTGGCCCAGGATTTCTCAGTTAACCCCACCCAGGAGAGGATGCTGTCATGCTCCTTCCAGAACTCTTTAAGGGTTAAATCTGTATCTGAGACCATCTGGAAGCACAAGTAGTCGGCATCCTCAAGCAGTTGGTTACTCAAGACTTTGGTCATAAGTTAAAACCAAAATTCTGGTCATAACCCAAGTTTTCGTATGTCAAGTTGGTTGTAACTCAAGGATCCACTGTATTCTGAAAGCTGTGTCTTAGGAAGGAGGGGTGAGGAACCTATGGACATTTACTATTGAAAAACTAATTGAAACATTTGAAGAGATATTGAATAGAAGGAGTTTAGATTTATGTGGAATCACCTCAGAGAACACAGTTAATTCAAAGGCTAAAAATCTCTTAAATCTCATATTACTTTCTCAGAGAGACCTCCCTTGCCAGCCTAAAATAAGTCTTCATTTTATTCTCCAAAACCTTTACCCTGCCATAGTCTGTATTACCTCTTATCAATGCATGCATTTTTTATCTAGTCAATTAATTATCTTCCTCCCCACAAGAATTTAGGTTCCACAAGGATTAAGTCTTTGTTTTCTTGAGCATGCTTTTATCTTCTGGGTCTTCAGAATCTAAGAACAGCATCTGGTATATATTCAATAGCTATGACTTTTGAAATGTATGAATAAATAGATATTACCTGTCCAAAATGGATGGATGGATGTCGCATTTGTCAGTAGTAAGCGTAAGCGCCTCATCACTTTACCAGGAAGGGTTGTGCACAGTAGGGTCTGGCAAATGATTTGATGGAAGAGCTGGAGTTGCTCCCAATTCTACCCTCTAAAGATTTACTTTTTCTCGGTTTTATATTCCCATAATTCCCTGTTTCCTGTCTATAGTTCTGCCTGTAAGATTTTGTTGTCATTCCCTTCATATTTCCTTTGTTCTTTGCTTTGGCTTCTGATATACTCTGTGGTCTTTCCCACATTACCTCTTTCATTCAAGCGCAGTGTTTAGGGAATCTGTTCTGTTATTCTTTAAATAGATTCAGTGTTGGATACATAAAGAGAACCTTAGGTAAGTGTGGTAACTTAGAAAATGTTTTCTGGTTTCAGTGTTATTTCATTAATTGTCTTGCCTTTTTCACTAAGCAGAGAGCTTCCTGTTTCATTCATTCACTCTGCTATCTGTGTCTGCAGAGCTCTCTTTGCACAGGACAGCATGGAAGAAAGCATCATCGACAGCCTTAGGGCCTCACACCCTCTTGCAGGGAGACAGCAAACTGAAGGCTCTGATCTGTCTCTCCTTCTGGCGCTTGTATGGGAAGGGACAGGCAACTGGAAGGTCTGCAGCATTCCTGAAGTTAAGAAAAACAAGGAAAAACTTTATTCATAAATGTGTACAATCTTTCTTCTACGACAGTGAGCTTTTTTCCCCTTCTTAGTGTTTTTCTCTTCTGCTCTTTCTAATGAAATAGTTCATAAACTTGCCCAGGCGTCTGTGCTGGCAAAACCAAGCTCCCTAGAACTTAATTCCTGGGAATGACAGAGAAAAGAGAGTCTGACTGTATCATCCAACTTCCTAATCTCATGTGCAAAAATTAGGAGGCATTAAATAAAGCTGTTCCTTAAAAGCATAGTGGAAAGAAAAACTTTTAACCTACCCACACATCTACATATTTCAACCATAATAATTTAATTTCTTCCATGCTCAAGTTTTGACTTTGTCTTTTGTTGAGTGATTTCATGAATCATGATTGTTTGCAAACTGTTTACACATTTGTTATAAAACTGTTGTTAGGGATATCACTCAGTGTCACCTACGTAAGGTCTCATGTGAAAAATATCATCTGGAATTTTTGGCCAAAGAGAATTCATTCTCTTGGAGAATTGGCATAATAACTCGTTTCTGATAACAAGAACTCTGTAAAGTTATTTTTTCTTTTGCCTGGGATACCAGCAACTTCTCAGGGGCTTACTGGTCAATAGAAAGTTACTTTTTCAGACCTCAGGATTAGTTTATTTGCTCCTTATTCATTTTATAAACATTATTGGCCTTTGCCGGGGATTTAGCTCAGTGGTTCCACCACCTGCCTCACAAGTGCAAGGTGCTGAGTTCAATCCCTAGTGCCAAAAAAAAAAAAAAAAAAAATCATTATTGGGCCTATGCTGGTTTTCAGAAGTGACTAAAATTTTTCTTATTTATAAACCTGACTAACTAAAGTAATCCAGTCCTAAATAAAGGTCATCAAACTATGGCTTCATCTGTTTTTTAACACATTCTAGACAGGGCTGTAATTTGTATGTCTGGCAGCCAAGTAGGTCTGCATCAGCAAAGGTACATTCGTGACTGTCCCACTGGGCATCATGGGACAGTTGCGCATGTAGCGCTGGGGTACAAGCCACACAATGGGACAGGCATGCATGTACCACCAGTAGTTCAAGCTAGAGGGAACATGTTAAAAAGTTTCTTGAGAACACAGCAGCACCCCTTCATTTATATATTGTCAATGGCTGACCATAGACCTCTGAAGTATAGAATATTTACTATTCAAGGGAGGCTAGCTATACAGCTTACCAACCATGTGTCTAGTAACTGTTACTAAGGATTAAAATCTTTGTGTATTAATATGAAATCAGCTTTATAGAGATTGTTAAATGGTCTTTGTGTTGCAGTGCTGGAGATTGAATCCAGGACCTTGCCCATGCTGGGCAAGTGCTCCGGCCCTGAGCCCTTGAATTGTTAAATGGGATTCATATTCTTAAAGGCTCCATGGATATATTGTTATTGTACACACACAGGTGTACAAAGCTGTGTATAGCATTGTCCGTTTTGATCACGATAGATTCTTGAGTAAATTTAATTGATCCCTTCACAGTTGCATAATTTTCCTTACAATTTCCTTTTGACCTTATCCTCTCGATCTTTTTACTTCTAGAGGAGGATCGATGTAAACTGTACTGTAAGGCCGAGAACTTTGAATTTTTTTTTGCAATGTCCGGCAAGGTCAAAGATGGGACTCCTTGTTCCCCGCACAAAAATGACATCTGTATCGATGGGATTTGTGAAGTAAGAGAACATTTCCACCTTGGGGTCTGGCCACGCTGATGTTTCTACATGTAAATGTATACCATGAAGGGGAGGCCCTGTACAGGCATTAGGGAAAGCAGGCAAAACGTTCCACTTGGATATGAATACCAGCTCTAAAATCCCATTGGTTCTTTTGCAGGGTTCCTGTCCAATCATTTTAATTTCTCTTTCATTCTATTTCCCACTGTAATAAATTGAAATAATGATATATTTTATGTTAATATAGTAGATGTAACAATTGTGGTAAACTTTTACTGCCTGTCTACTAATTATACTCACTGCATTGTTAGAACCTCACAGATACATTTTGAACTAGTGTGATGGTTTATTTATTATTTAGGTGCTAGGGTTCGAATTTAGGAGTTTGAGCTTGCCAGGCAGGCACGATGCCACTGAGCTACATCCTCAGCCCTTGTAACTATTTATTTCTAGTTATTTTTCTTTTCTCCTTGAGTACTCATTTTTTCCTTTTTTTTTTCTTTTTTTTTGGGGGGGGGTACCAGGGATCGAACTCGGTACCTTGTGCTTTCGAGGCAGGCGACAGAACCACTGAGCTAAATCCCTGGCCCAGTACTCACTTTTTCTTTCGTTTAAATTTGTCTGTGAGCTCTTCGATCCTTTTAGGGTGTGGGTGCAGATGCACGTGTATGTGTATTATTGTCCACATTTTTATGGTTTAGTCAAGGAACTAGCTTGGAAATCTCACCCCGTGTTAGAAGAGAGCTCTTCTATTCCACTGTTGCAGATGGAGAATCTAAGCAATAGATAAGTTCTGTATCTTGCTCAGTCATGCATCTAATAATAGCAGAGGAAAGACATGAACCCCAGTCAAACTAGAGACTGTGGTTTTAACCATAAGCTGTCCTGCCTCTCTGATGTTCTGGAAAGACAGAAAACCACACACCTCATAGTTATTCTTAGCTGTTGGCTTCTCTGATCTGTGATGATTTTCTAACTTTCTTTCCCACAGCCAGTAGGATGTGATCACGAACTTGGGTCCAAAGCAGTTTTGGATGCCTGCGGCGTCTGCAAAGGTGATAATTCAACTTGCAAGTTTTATAAAGGGCTGTACCTCAACCAGCATAAAGCAAATGGTAAGAGACGCTGCTCTTTCATTGTCATCGCTGCTGAAGCAAAACTTGCCACCGAATGTGTCTGAGTCACATTAAAATGGTGACTGAAACACAGAAGGTTGCTTTTGTCACTCATGCAAGAACAAAGGATGACAGAACTATTGTTGGTGAGAATTTTTGACAGTACATTATAGGTCAGAAGTGTGTTGAGTGAATGCCTTCCTACTTTGTGGTCTAAATATGACAATTAGGCTATCTATCATATGCCCCAAACTCATTTGTTAAACAAAAAAACATATTGTGACCTGGGCATGGTGGCACATGCCTGTAATCACAGCTAGTGGAGGCTGATGCAGGAGGATGGTAAATTCAAGGCCAGCTTGGGCAATTTGGGAAAACCTTATCTCAAAATAAAAGAGCTGAGGGTGTAGCTCAGGAGTAGAATGCTTGCCTAATATGGGCAAGGCCTGGGTTTGATTCCCCAGGATTGGAGGAAGGGAAAGACATTGTAAAACTCAGAGGATCTGGTCCACAGCGGTACATGAATATTAGAAGCAATTATCCAAACTTCTTGAGTTTTGGAAAATTACTGGTTGAGAACACATAGCTTTAAATTTCTTCTAGCTAGGTTAGAAAGGCCAAAGGGCATTCCTGAGTTTGTGGCCTCACTTGGCCTTGGGAGGAGAAGAGTGTGTCTTCTGCCTACAGACACATGCTTAGTAACATACTGGGAAAGCTGCATCTTCCTCTAATGTTTCTACCCCTTGGAAAAATGAAATGATTGCTCTTCATAGCATGGGACTGAATGTCAGTCAGTAGTCCAAAAACTCCACTCTAAGAAAATGGACATTGCATGGCTCTGGGCATTTCTGGTCCCCCTTCTCTAATGCACAGAGTAGAATTCAGAGCTGTTCTATTCTTCCCATTTAGAATATTATCCAGTGGTCATCATTCCAGCTGGTGCCCGAAGCATTGAGATCCAAGAGCTCCAGATATCCTCCAGTTACCTTGCCGTGCGAAGCCTTAGCCAGAGGTATTACCTCACAGGCGGCTGGAGCATTGACTGGCCGGGGGAGTTCCCTTTTGCTGGGACCATGTTTGAATATCAGCGCTCCTTCAACCACCCGGAACGCCTGTATGCACCAGGACCCACGAACGAGACACTGGTCTTCGAAGTAAGCCCTTTCAGTTCATTCATTTCTCAATGCTTTGTTCTACATTTATCGTGAGGACTCCAATTTGAGTGAGCTGAAAGCACTCTGACCCTTTCACTTCAAATTTGTTTCCCAATAGGCTCATTTTCAAAGTGTAAGCAGGAGAAGACAGCACTTCCACTGGGGGGAAAAGACAGAAACCCAATGGGCTGTTAAGAGAATGTGTTGATTTTCACATGAGGATGCCAGCCTTTCACCATTATTTGGGGCTTTCATGAATGCAAAGGAATATAGCAGAAATGCTTTTTTGGTTATTCCAGTTTGTCTGTGTCTGTCATTTAGATAACCCTTGTAGCTGTTCACTGCAGGTCAGCTGACCTATGAGGCAGAATTATATAGTAGAGAAAACGCTTGCTTGAGTGTCAGCTGAGTTTTAGTCAGGCTGCACCACTGTGATTTTGTAGGTTGCACTTTCCCCAGAGAAAAGAAAAGAAAAATATCTTCGTGGGCAATGATGATAATATAGCCAATACATCTGCAAATAACTCTGCAAGATTATCACCATATGTGGATTTTCTTTAGTCACGTCTTTGAGTTTGCTTTTTTCCCTCTTTTTAAAATGGCATTTATGGTTTATTCTCACAGGGCAAGTGTCTTACTTCAGTTTGTATAGAAACGATACGGTCTACCACTTGCTGAACACATATACAACTAGGGCATTCTTGGTAATCATTTCAAGCTTCAATTTTTTGCCTGTACAATTGGAGTGCAAAACTTACTAAGTCAGATTTCTGTTATTGTGACAAAATACCTGATTCGATTAACTTGTAAAGAAGAAAGGTTTGTTTTGACTCACAGTTTTGGTGGTTTCAGTCCATGGTCAGTTGGCCCTGTTGTTTATGGGCCTGTGGTGAGGCAGTGTTATCATGGTGGCAGTACGCAGTGGAAAAAGCTTTTATCTCATGGTAGCCAGGAAGCAAGAGAAAAAAGGAGTCAGTATCCCAGTATATAAGAGAGTCCACCACCTCCTGATTGCATTACAAACTGGGGAACAAGTCTTTAACACATGGGTTATCAAGGGGACACTTATCTAAACCACAGCACTTAACCCACTGACTTGCCAGAATAGGGAATCAAATGTCAAGAAAAGTTAAAAGATGACCCTAACTCATACTGCCAGGAAAGAGCAGAGGTGAACTAGTATCCTGTCTTTTCTACTCCAGAGTATGATAGCTACACTCAGTCCAATCCTACTGCTCTCAGACACAGGAAGCATCAGATTGATGTGGCTATTACTATCACAACTGTTGAGGCTGTAATGTTCCCCTTCTTCCTGTGCTGTGATCTTGTACTGATCAATTGTAAGCACCCTCTTTCCCCAAAAATAAGACCTAGCTGGAAAATAATCAACTCTCAGAACTAGAGATCAAAAAATGCCATTCACAATCAGCCTATCCTTGCCTTGGGTTGTCTAAAAATTGAATATTAAGAGATAGCTATGAGAAGATTATTTGATGGGTTTTGGTAAAATTATATATAATATATATATTTTATATATATTCATATTCTTAGTGCTGAGGAAAGCATAATTCATGTTTCTGTGGGGAGTCTTACACCATGCTAGGTTCCCTATCACCCAAGGTATTTGTTCAGCTCCATAATTAATAAAGCAATTTTCAGAGACAGGTTTTCTTTCTGTCTAAACAGAAGCCCTCGATTTATTCTCAGGCTCATTCCCATGTGCAGTGGGATGGATAATTCTCCGGACAACTACCATGCTGCTGTGATGTTGGTAGTGACCTTCTGCAGCTCTCCGCAGTTCAGTGGTGAAAGCAATGAAAATGAATTACTCTTACCCCATGTGTGGGAGTTTGCATTCCATGTGTGTTGAGTTATTTGGGGGGAATTTAGATGACATCTTGAAGTTTCCCTAATGGATTCTCAGGTCGGCTAGGACTTTAGAAAGTGGAAAAATGAATACCTATGCATTAAATTGTCATTGAGTCCTTCTGTATCTCATGCTCTGTGCTTCCGTTGTGTCCCACAGTAACAGTAGCTGTGGACTGAAAGGCAAAAAATAATAAATCTCTTTGTTATGAAACTTAGAGTGTTGGAAAGTACAGTATAGTGTTACATAAATAAATATGTAAATGAACACAGAGTTATAGATCAGGATAAGTTGTTGGGAAGGAAATCATTGTAAGAAAATAAAGAGAGGGATTGCCTTGGATTAGGGAATGGTGGGGAACGTTCTCTGAGGTGAAATTTGAGGATGTGAAGTACCAGCCAGGTGAAGGGCCCAAGCAAGTTACGTAAAGAAAACAGCAATTTAAACCCCATGTTTTAGAATTGTGTGTGTGTGTGTGTGTGTGTGTGTGTGTGTGAGAGAGAGAAAGAGAGAGAGAGAGAGAGAGATACTGAGGAGTGAACACAGGGCCTTCACAATGAGCTACATCTGCAGCCTTTAATTTGTTTTATTTTTTAGAGTGAATCTTGCTAAGTCACTAAGCTGCCCAGTCTAGGCTCATACTTGGGATTCTCCTGCCTCAGCCTCCCAGAATGCTGGGATCACAGACATACGATACCACACTCATCTTGTTTTAGAACCTTGTGGTAAAAAAAGAGTATTGGGCTGTGGGATAAATATAGTAGGAGGAACAGACCACCATAAGAGTATAAACCATGGTAGAGAGTTTGGATTTCATGCTAAGAGCAACATCAGAATCTTACCAAAATGAGTGTTTTAAAAATCTTCAGCAGCTGCTGTGCAGATAAGTGACTGGAAAGACCTGAAGTGAATTGGGGAAAAAATAAACTGATCTTCTAGAAGATAAAACTAGAAGTGCTAGAAGATGACACTGTGGAGTTAAGTATGGATTTGCTTGTACAACCTTATGGCCTGAGCATAGAAAGTTGTTGGAAAGATTTCTAAAAATGAATGGGATATGGACTCTGGGGAGAAGGCTGTGTTGAGAAATGATCTCAGGCTGCGGCTTTGAGCATCTGGTGGGTGTTTTTACCACTATAAGTATCTTGAGGACGCCTGGAAATAGGGTTAGGGAGGGGACAGATTGTCACATTAGCTGCCTGCTATTGGAGATGCATCTTGGACAGTCAAGAGTGGCCATCAGCATGCAGCCGAGTGTGTGTTCAAAGAGCATCAACACCTTGGCATGGATACTTGATTCAGTTCCTGAAAATGACTGAAGTGATACACAAATGGATCACTCGTTAACCGAGAAGAGCCTGTAAGTCCCAGTTTTCTTTAATAAAGCAGCCCTCTTGGGAGTAGCCAAGTAATTGTCATGTCAAGAATCTGCCTTGGGAAGGAACTCTTGAACCCTGGCTGACACCACCGATAGAGGGACACACCTGGGACCGCACACAGGTGCCAGGGAGCTTGAAGTGGACACTCACCTGTCATCACCCTGGCATTTTCTCCTGCGTCTTTGCCCTGCACCTGTGCACCTGACCCAGGGCAGTGGAGCTGTCTTTGCTTGTGGCAGTAGAAATGGCATGCAAGCTGCTGGTGCTGCTTTTCTTTCTTTCTTTTTTTTTTTTTTCAAGATTGCACCAGCTGTACTTTTCCTTCCAGACTGCAATGCATTTAAAATCTGTGTCTGAATCCCCTACTCAAAAGCTATGCAAATTCATTTTAGAGTATAATTTACAAGTATTGCCATAGTTTCTGGAAGCAATCAGAGAAACCTGCTAAATGTCTGTTTCATAGTTTCAAGACCATGCAGTGTCTTCATATTTGAAAACTACAGCATTTCCTACAATGTCAGAATAATATTTGGTGCTGATAGAGATGTTTCTTGTGAGCTACTGTGGTATAAAACGAAGACAACTCTCCACATGGGAATTATCCAGTAGCACTATTTTTAAACATTTACTGAGGAAAAGGAGTAGAAGATAGTTAACATCAATAACCATGTGTAACTTCAGATTCAAAGGTTAAAAGCACATATTCTTCACTAACTAATGGAACTTGGGGACAAGATCCTTAATCTCTGTTGCTTAACTTCCACATTTGTAAAATGGGAAAAGAATATACACGATGACAGCAATCGTAAGGATAATTTCAGCACTTACAAAATATGTAGCACCTGATCTTTATTACCATCATTATTTTGTCTCTGAGCCTATCATATGCGTTTAAAAAAAACAAAAACTAAAACTAAACCTCAGACTCTAGGTACCAAATTGATGATCAAAGGCCAAATTCAGATCACATAATATTAAAATAAAATAGATCAGTGCTTTAATATCAGCTGACTTCTTATAAAAGCATGGATTTTTAGATCTCTTTTCTATTAACAAAAAAAGAAACCTCTGGCCCCAGTAGATATTTGTGTTTGCAGACTCAGCGGTAGACCTTGATCATGAGTCAATGTCCCATTTTCATCCAGACCTGAGATATACTAGGTCCCATCACGTCTGTCTCTGTGGTGGGAGACCCCCCTGAAGATCTCACCACACTTATGAGAGAGGGGTGGTCCTCAGGAGATGCTCTTCATCTCTTTTGGCTGTTTATTTTAGAGGAAGAGATTGGAAATTCTGAATCAAACTATCCGGAGGTCGACAAGTAATCCAGTCCTTGAAATTACACTTTAATTAAATGTAAGGCATAAAAGTTGGCTCCCCTGTTGAAGATTCCTAGGATCTTTTTCTCCATTTTTTTTTAAAAGATGTATTTGTTTCCTGCTTGTTTTCTATCAAGTATCTGAGCAGCCACTTCCCTTCCTTTTGAGAAGTCTGTTTAGCTTGAAAGGCGTCACTTTTAGAGAAACGGAGCTTTGCTAGTGGTGCCAAGAGGCCCTTATGCACCACTAGACAATCGTATACATACACAGCTCTGTGGCTGAAAGGAACCTAGAGAACAAAGAAGGCCTAGATGCCTCTTAGGGCTTCAGCCATGAACACTCAGCACAAAGTGCAAACCATTCCTGATGAAAAAGAGGTTTTCTTACTACTCCACAACAAGCAACCATCTTCGTATTGTTACTCTCTGAAATTTT